CGTCATGAAGTAACCGCTCGTCCGTGAGGTAGACCAAAATTCGTGTACCGCCTACCCATAAAGCCGTGCTGTGTATATAAGTTGTATAAGGAGAAATTTGACAAAGTTTGCCCTCCCGATGGTGTCCATCGTGGTATGATATCAAAAAAAGGAAAAGAAGTGAGAAAAGGACGCGTCGCACTTTCGTCCTGAACCCCCCGCGAGGGGCAGTCCGAACCCAGGAAAAAAGCAAGCCGTAGTTACGCCCCAACTATGTTGTTCATGAGGTTTTTCCCCTTTCGCGCCGTCAGGTTGGAAGAAAACCCTGGAAATTAATGCCACCAAGAATAATGCAGCCAGGTTTCGCCCTTTGACGTGAAAATATCGGTCATTAGCGCTTTCCGGCCGTAATTTTTGTTCGTGAGCCAGCGGCGTATTTGTCAAAATCCGCATCGCGTCCGCTGATCGGTCGAGTTGACCTGTTCGACTCCGCGTACCCTTCCTCAATGTCCATCTCCTCGAAAACGGCTGGCGTTGGCTTCGACTCTCGCTTGATCGTGGTTGTGACGTAGACACCGCTCGCAGGCACCGACCCAGCCGATGATGCCCTGCGTGTACGTTCTCCCTCTGATGAGATCTTGTCGTCGCTGGTGGCCGAGTTGGAGCGTCGGCTATCCAAAGAAATCTCGCCAACATCGCCCATAACGTGCTTCTGGCTCGGTGCGATGTGGGGTGAGTAGGGAGTGCCGTCCGGACGGCGGAAGTCTTCAATGAACGGCTCGCCTCGGGAGTTACCGCTTGACGAGCCGATGGTAGCTTGGTTATCCTTCGAAGTTACCCATTGTACAACAATGGCAGAGAAAAGGACTAGGGGGGAGGTCAGCTATGCCCGCAAGGACAAGGGCAGATGGTAGTTGTGGACATACTGTCGCTGTTGCAGCACATAAGGCAGACCCAACCAGGCTCACCGTTGAGGGCCATGAGTACGGTCAAGTTACTGTAGCGAGTCAGAAACCTTGAGCTTAAAATAAAGGTATGCCCAACTTACACAATACTGCTAGTGAGCGTGCACAGGGCACCAATAAAGGTGCGGAGGGCGACGCTTCTAAGTCGGATATTTGCAGGTGTTTTGGGGAAGTGCTTGAATGAGTAGAGACCTGCGGCAAGTTAGCCTCACCGTTGCGAAGATGGTTGTTAGATTGTCTGGCCGAGCTTACTCTTGAGAGGAATGAGGAAGAGAATAGTGAGGTAGATGTTGACGACGGCATCAAATGAGATGAGAGGAATCATCGAGACCTTTTGCATTCCGATGTAGCACTGCCCATCATCGATTCGAGTAATTCGGCTATTCCAGTGTCAGCTGTGGAGTCAAGTACAAGTGAGACGAGGTTGGCTTACAAGATGAAGTTGAGAATAGCAATGACTGCGTAGACGCCGAGCATGCCAAACGAGTTGAACAGGTAAAGCTTGGATTGCAGTCTCGGTTTTGTTGCTCCTCTGATGATGTGCTTTCGAAGACGTTAGCTGTAAATTCTGGGTTGCCCAATAGACTCAATATACGCACTGCTTTCTCGACCAGGAAGAGATAGATCAAGACTTTTGTCGAAAGGTAGCAAACGAGACATAGTAGAATGGCGCCATCGCAAATCTGTGCGTTCTTGTTGACTCCGAGGGCGAATTGGAGGACTGCTGTGACGAAAACAAAGAGGTACGAATCGATATAAACGGCGAGCACGACTATGATTCTGTTAGCTTCGCGGATCTCCGCCTACCACCAAAACAAATTACTCACGCCAGACCACGAATGGTATTCTCCTCCAGTTTCTCAATACTGTGCCTCTTTGAACTGTTCATTCTTCGTAAGTATACCGCTCCACCAAATTGTGATTCGTAGGCTACCAACCGAAAAATCCGGAGATGATGCTGATCGAGACCAGACAGATGATAACGCTCATCACCGTTCCTCCAATGGGCTCTGATGTGTGTAGGCCTTCGGGATTCGCCCGGGCAATCATTTCTGGAGCCGGAGCCATCGTGTCCCCGGGAATGTGATGTCGATTTCGAGTCGGATATGGTTTGTTGGATCACGATCTTCCGAGCATGAAGAGGGCGGTCGGGGCGGGAAGGAAGTGCCAAAGGGGGCAGAAGAACTATATACCAAGCGCAACCGCAAGAACCGGGAACGCTAGAGGAAGGGGATCGACGGTTTTGATGTCCGAGCTACACTTCGTCTCGCAATGTCTGGGAGGGGGACACAACCGTCTTTAAGTTTCGTCCAACAGGTGATCGAAGCGTGCGTGCAGGGACGGGAGGGGATGGGGGCAGCTTAAGGTGCAGACAACAAGCCCAATGCTGCTACAAGGATGGAGGGGAGTGACCGATACGCTAGAGGCAAGGGGGAAGAATACCTAGACTTATCCGCCTGTGGCTTTTCCCCCCCTTCTCCTCCCTCTTCTCTATCTGTCTGGGTGTGTACCTCTCTCTCCTAGCTTGAGGGGAACGTACCCGGCGGAGTGATCCAAGCTGGATACGTGATAGCAAGAAAATCAAGCCCACTTAGCATGAGATCAAAGGCGTCTGTTTCTGGCTCTGGCTTTGCTGGGTGGAAGCTACCAATCTATGGTCCAAGACCGGTCACAGCTGGTTGACTCGGAAAAAGCCACTTCCAAGTACCTACTAGTACTGGGTGGACGTGAAGAAGTGACGGCGTTGAAAAATAAAAATGTCCTAGATGATAGCTCCATGTAGGTACGAGAAAGGCAACTCGAGTAGTGGCCCCTGGTGCAAGCCACCGGGAAGGGTACCGTAGAAACTCGAGCAACTCGAACTTGCGCTAGCCCGTGCCAGCCCTGCTAGCGGCCCACACTAAGCCCTTTCGAGGGATCAGTTTTATCCGATTATATAATCGACTAAACCGTATACGGAAAGCGGTAAGTGATTATTTTCCATTTTTTACTCCTACCCAACTACCCACTTCCACCAATTACATTACCGATTTAACCACCAATTATACTATCAATTATACCTCCAATTACACCTCCACCACAGGCCTCGTCGATATGCCCACGATACCCTCACGACGGGCCCTTACCGAGAAAGATTCAAATATAATAAAAATACCAATTATACCTCTAGTAGCTAAACGCCGTAGGCCTACTCCTACCCCTATTAAAAACCGGAAATATATACCGCAAAATAGCCTAATTAAACGCCGCTAGCACTATTATACCTACAATACTAAAATTAACGTCCTGATATTTTTAAAGCATTACCGCATAAAAAAGCTCGATAAAAAATCGATTTACCCCCTAAAGCTACACTAAAACAAGACCGAGCTCCTAAAAATATACAGACGTCCTATATATTAGGAAGCTATAGATTAATTTAAAATCCCTCAAAGCACAGTTATCTCCTAATATTAAAACCGCAAATTAATCATTAATCGGTCCTTTAACTATACCTACTACCTTTAATAACTAAAGTTTAAAATAGCGCTATACAGCACTTTCCGCTAGCGACGAAGTAAGGGAAAGCTTATTAATACTAATTAGTTTAAAAGGACCGTTAAGCGGATTTTCGCCTAATAAAACCCAAATAGTAAACATCTTTTTATTTTTTCCCCCGGTTGGTTTCGTAGCTTCTAGAATCATATAAAAATTACCTAACGTCGACTTACTAAATAGGTAACGAAGTTACCTATTAAGTACTTTAAAGTTATTAATAGCTTTTTTTCTTTTATCTAACGAATTAATTAAATGGCCCTAGCTAAGGTGAAACGGTCTAATGTCGGAGATTTACTCAGAAGTCTAGCCTGTCGATTTCCTAACTTACAAATTCTTAACCTCGACGAGACCCTAGTTCCTTTCAAATACCTAAACGGTTATATATACGACGATATTAGGGCTAAAACTATAGCTAGTAAGAGCGACCATAGCGGTTAGGGTAAACAGTAAGCTATATTAATATTTTATATCTTCACCAACGGTATATAACGAATTAAACCGAAAATAATATTCTATAGCAAGCCTATAAAGGAAGGGGGTTAATTATAAAAAAAAAAGGGCTTATTATACATAAAAAGAGTAATAGTTAAGTTCAACAAGACTGCCTATAACAATAAGTACTTATTTAAAAGATAAATTAAAGAGGAATTAATAGCGCTAACTAAAGGAGACGAGTACTTATTAATAATGGATGTTACTTCTTTTTATAAAATAAATTCTATCCTTACGCTATTATATTAGTACTATATCACACCCTACCTCATACTACTAAGGACCATTTCCCTCCTCCAACCTCTCGATACCGTAGTTAATAAGCCCTTTAAGCAGTGGCTTTTAAAAATAACCGACGCTTACGTACTTAACAAAAAAGAAAAAGCGCTAAATAAGCAGGAGGAGCTTAAATAGAAGACGGGTATAAAGAAAATAATAGTCACTAAAATAATTAAAACGGCAGCCGCTAAATTAACCTATAAAAAGGGCTTAATAGTTAGCTAGGCCTTCCTATAGTATAGAATATTTATTCGGCCCGATAATAGTTAGGTCAATAAAATCCGGATTAAAAACGTACCTACCAAGGTTATTAATTACATTAAGTAGGAGCTCTTTAATATAAAAGCCTATATTAAACAGGAGACGCTATAAGAGGAGATTTTAGACTTTACTATTCTAAACGACGGGTTAAAATATATTTTTATAGCAAAGAAAGTCCGTAATAGCATTAATAAATAGTTCGTCGACCCGATAGTCTAACCACTATATTAATAAGGGCCCGTTAGAGGTAGTGGGCTAAGGGATAATTAGGGGCTCGGTTACTTATATACGACTACTTCTAATTAATACTTTTACCCTTTTTACTAATTTAACAAAAAAAGCTTAAAACCGACGAGAAAGCCAAAATAATTATTGAATTATATTAATTATAGGTCCGGCCTCGACGGCGAGCTCTTATTGGTCAGATCGATCAAAATGTTAACCTACGCCAAAAATAGGTGGCGGCCGCATTTAACCACTTTAGGTAGTATTACGATTCTACTAGAGCGCTAGCAGGGCTGGCACGGGCTAGCGCAAGTTCGAGTTGCTCGAGTTTCTACGGTATTCCAAAAAGCTCAAGATTCCCGAAGAAGAAACGGTTTGAAGACAGCTACCTACACACACACACACTTTGGAGAACGGCATGTACGCGAAATGTGTGTACGCCCGCTACGATGGTCTCGGCTGGGAGCCAAGGGAGAGAGTTGAAGGATTGTGAGTGAGAGACAGGCAGACGTACAGTATGCCCGCCGTCCGGGCGTGCACAAGCCAAGCCCCAAACGGGCAAAAAACTGAAGAGAAGGGGAGACGGGCACCTTACCGGAGGACTTTTCTTGCATCGTCTCGGGAGGGAAGAAACGGTATCGGTATTGGCTACCTTAGCAGTGCATCGCCCCCAGACAAAGGTGACGACAGGAAACAAGAGCAAAAAAGGCTGTTTCGTCGCCAAGCTCATGTCACGGTGACGGGACGGGGGACGGGGCCGGGGGTGACTGAGTCGAGGTGGAGGGGCAAATCGTTACGAGAGGGAAACTCTAATCCAATGTGCCCTTTAATCCTGCGTGTGCCCTGTATCTGTCTGACTGTCTTTCTCTGCGCTGGCCTTGCCTTTGGTCTGCATCTCTCTGTGCCTGCCACAGCCCACAGATCGAGTCCGCGACAGGAAGAGCGGCTCACCGAGCGTCGTTTGGTAGTGGGTGGGTGGGAAGTCTACGCATGTCTACGCAAGACTTACATAGACTACTGCGTAGCTCGAGTCCTCGACCAGGAGCGGGGAGCTCGTACCCTTGTCTGGTTGGACGGCTCGACGGCGCAAGGCAGAGGTTGACTGCGACTCTGCAACGGAACAAGGGTATTTGGAGTCAAATCTGGTTGCCGATCCGGCCTATACACCAACCAGCTCCATTGAATATCGACGAACCTTTGGCACTAAAATTTCTCCATGTTGACCAGGTGTATCCAGCGGATTTGCTATACTGCAGAGAGCGTATTGCATGGCTGGCCTGCGTTTCCTCTCTCCCACTCACTTTAGCTTTGTCAATGGTACCCTTACTGGCTGAAGACTTTTGCGCGCTCAACTAGATTTGAAGATTTTAAAGATTAGCTCGCAGGTCCCCTCCTCCTCCCCACCTGCGGTCCACCGTTCAACACAAAGACGCCGCGATACGTAAAGCTCCGCAAGTGATGGCTGTGGCATGGGCCCTTTCTCGAGCGCCTCTGACGAACAGCGTACAGCGCTACCGCTGAGCACGTCCTGATAGCTTGCGAGCGACTGTGCACATGCAGTCCGGTCTGTGGTCTATCGGTCCCGGCGAGCCGTGACCCCTGGCTCTGGGCCCTTTGGGAGAGGCTGTGGTGGAAAGAACGGATACGTCGATGGCATTTCCCGTACCGATAGTGATTTGGTGTGGCGGAACGACGGAGTAGGCAGGCATGGAAATTCAGAGCCGCAGGTCGACAAAGGAGCCAGAGGCGCAGGAGGTGCGGATCTGTAAGTACCAAGACCCATCGCCGGTTCAACACAAAGCTGGGAATGAAATAAGCACAGCCGTTCTTGGGAACTGGCTTGTCTTCGCCGACGTTCACACATACGTGAGACCTGTTGCCGGTTATCTCACGCCTCATCCGGTCGTTGCCTTTTCAGAAGGTTGATCTAGCCGCTTGGCCACAATGATGTAGTGTGAAGCCTGCTTGGCTTACGGCCGGGTGATCGCTTGCGTCCAGAAAGCGACCAGAAGATGGCAAAAAACCAAAGAAGGTTTGGCAAGTCAGATCCGTCAAGAAGGCAAAAAGTCCTGAATCAACGTGCTTGGAAGGAATAGAGACGAGAATTTGGCAGACAGTCGGCCGATCGCACTGTCAGTCAGAATGACGGCCGAGACCGCTTCCTTCGTTCCTCATGGTGTTCCTGCCCCTCTGCCTCGTAATTTGCTGCACCCCCGGATTCTGACGAAGCCATTGCTACAGATCCCTTGGAGCTAGCGCTGAGAAGTACGTAAATGTTTGTTTCTCAGATTGAGTCTGTGTAAGAGAGCCCGGGCGGGCATCGTGCATTCATTTCGCGATCTAGGGTTCGGTTGACCGTTTGAGCTGGAGGCGTGGCATGCCGGACCTCTCTAATCCGGCAAAGAGCGGCTCGTAGCATTCTCAAAATGGCTGCTATAGCCTATGGCTGAAGCACTCCTTGCCTGGCGGCTCAAGAGATTTCGTGATCATGCGGGCACGCTATGTCGAGAGAGGGCGGCCGTGTAAAACGTCCCAAGAGTCTGAAGGGATTGTTCTCGATGGTGCGGCCGACCTTGAACGCGGCAGGCACGAAGGGTTCTCTCTACCGATCTATCGGTCGAGCGCCTTCATGGCATCCAGATAATGGCAGCCGGCCAATCACATTCGTGGCGAGGAGAGAGCTGAGTTTGTAGCTCAGTGAACGAGCATGGACGGGTTGCTTCGGGCACTCCTGCGTTTACGTTGCCACGGATGCCGCAATGTCGCAATCTTGGTCTGAAAGAAGCAGGCATAATCCGCAAGGTAATTGTGCAAGACCACCGTCCAGTTTGTCTAGAGTTTTTTTTTGTGTAAAAGACTTGGCAACTTTTCTTGGACAAATGCCCAACGGGATCCTCCATTGCCTCCTCCTCCCCATACTCCAGAGCTACCTAAGCTGACTCAGGACACCGCAGTCTAATGCGGCGTAACCAATCGAGGTCCCGGTCAGCTAAGGTCTAGCTCGGTCTAGACTTGGGCTAGTGGCTGAGATGTGGCTGCCGGCGCCGGGTATCGTGAGGCACCGTGCACTCACTGCAAGGCAGGGCCGGCAACAACACCGACACCGGCACACGCCTTTCGTCGCCATCAACCACATACTGTTCCCATTTCGTGTATAGCAGGCGACAGGCCTCAGGGGCCCTTGTCGCGCGCGGTGCTGTACCTATGTCAGGCGTCAAGCGTCATGGCAATCTGACACTAGCCCGCCCCAACAAGAAGCTGAAGGCAACTCTGCATCCATCGTGAGGCGGCAGGCCTCTCTGCCGTAGAAACGCAAGTCCAAGCTGAAGGTCGTATTTCAAGAAATTGGACTGTAGTAGTAGTAGAAGATGGGCGTTCCATTCCTGCGCGCGGAAGGCGGCAAGCGAGGATCCAAGGTAGTAGCAGGTGCAGATCCCGTGTGCGATCCGACGTCCTCAAACTAGAGCGAATGAAGTGCGGTTGCAGTTGCCAAACGGGAAGGAAACACCAAGAAAAGCACGCGAGCGCAAGGTGTGCGAGACGTGTGCGAGACGTGTGCGACTCTGCGAGGGACCCGACGAGAGACACAAGTACGCCAAGTTCCCCAAGTCCGAAGTATCAAGAAGAGACAAGCAGCTGCCGGGAACTCGGAAGAAGCAAAGATGAGCAAACATTTGGTATCCGTACGGAGTACTCCGTAAGGTAATGTCATCGTCGACACAAAGAGGTACGTATCGCTGGAAGGAAGAACCCTTCCTCCGTTAGCCCCCGCCCGAGGTCCCTTCTCCCCCCCCCCGACTGATGTGGACGACCCAGAAACACTGAAGCCACACGGATTAGAGCCCCCCTGCTCGCCTCGCAGGAAGCAGAGCGGTCTGTGCGACGTGTCCCGGGGAAAGAACCAAGAAAGCAGGGGTCCCTCCCAGCTCCTGCTCGACTGACGACATCACCATCAGCCACACGATGCAAGCCACGTCGGCAGCGCGGGGGTGGCCAGTGAGACCTCACGATGCCATCTTCATACCAAGAGCAACACTTTCCACTGTTGTTATGAGTAGTGCCGTGTGACTTAAAACTATATCACTCCTAGCCCTTGCTCAATTGAGTAGATCTCACAAGCATGATCGCCCCTCGAAAGCAGGGCTACAACCTTTTGCGCAAATGTTCTTTATTACGTACAGAATGTTCGAGGAAGCCTTTCAACACTTCACTCCCGTGACCTACCTAATCTTCCGCCATCTAATCTCGTTCTGCGGCCCGCTAGATCTCTCGTCGAATGCCAAGGTCGCCGGCCCGGCGAGTCCGTAGTCCAAGGCACGCGATCCTCATTTCGGGCAGCGCCTCTTGCGGATAGCGTGAGGTCCGAGTCCTGGCCCTTTTCCCCTTTCATGGTCCCGACGGGGGACTATACTCTCGCCGGACTGTTGCGCCTACCCCCGGCACCGAAGGAAGTAGGTAGGTAGTTAGGTAGGCATCTATTCTTCCTCGCGGTATCCCACCGATCCGCACAAACAAGGTTTTCGATCACCTCGACTTTGTGTTACCTACCGTTCATCTCTTTTCCCTTCGGGAACCCATCTAGTGCACGATGGGGGCCCGCCGGCCTCTGAGACAAGACATTCTCAGAGTAACTCAGCGAGGGGCTCTCGCACAAAGCTGACAAGGTCCCCAGCAATCTGGTTCTCGGGACTCTTGGCAACCTTGAGAGCTGCCAGTAGAGATGATCGTCGTCCACCGGATTTGGGTTCTTTTTGGACGGATCTAGTCGTCGATCTCTGTGAGACACGACACGACGAACTCAACCAGAAGCTTCTGAGACATTGGAGTCTCTTCTGCCTCTTTGGTGCCACAGTGCCTGCCGTGTGTACCATGTTCGTGTCTTGGCAAATCGCAATGGCCTGCGTGCCTGGCCTGCGTGCCTGCCTATCGCACGATGTTGGAGGACCTCTCGGTGAACAATCGCAGAGGGCATTGCAGAGATATTGTTTAGAAGAGTTTTGAGTTACTACAATGAATAAGTAGAAGATGCTACTTGAACTGTGGTTTAACATTACAAGTTTGTTCAAACACCATTTCAAGGGTGGAACATTAGCCGCTATGGTTCAGAGTATTCAGAATAGATGAGAGCACTCCACAAGTGAGAAATTTCTTAGACTACTGAGTCAGATGAAGATTTCAAGGTGTCCCAGCTTATTCGCATGTCCTTCGCCTCTGCCAAGATCTCAAAGAGCTTCTCATGAGAAAAGAGACCGAGACCGAAACACACCATTTGGGCAGGTAGATCGCCCTACACCAGTGATACAGATACTTGCAGTGAAAACACAGAAACAATTTTTTTAAACTTCCGAGCTATGGAAATACCTTCTCGAAAGCATGCTGCTTTATTAGACTTCATAGTCGGACAGTTTAGTCTTGTGAAACGTTGGCGGTGGCTTCTAAATAAGCCAAAAGGAAGATCTCAGTCCCTAATCTAGCTGTGATGGGAAGATCTTTAATCTTCAAGAGGCTTGAGGGAATGTAAGAAAACACATGTCAACTCAAGGAGTGTCTAAGACAGGGCCACCTCCAGCTCCTCGAGGTGATCATCGGAGATCTCCTATACACCAAATGGAAAACTCAACCGCCAATTCGAACATAGAGAGAGAGAGAGAGAGAGAGAGAGAAAAAGAGAGAGAGAGAGAGTATCACGAAACGGCGATAGGGGCGAGAAAAGCTCTATTCCTGTCCACAGCGCCAACAAAGTCAGTCTCTCAAGGATCGACGGTATTCTCACCAGCCCGCAAAGAATCTCAAACGCGATAGTTACCAAGTTGCGAAGGAACAAAAACATCCATCACACCAAAGGAAAAGATCCTCTCCCTCCGTCCCTGACTATCACAAAACTAGTCCTCCCGCCCCCCCCCCCTCCGCGCCGTCCGTCCTCCGGCCGAAACAATCCTTCCTCAAGGCGTTCTGGAAAGCAACCAAACCAGAAACCTCGGGAACTTCCCGTTCGTTGCCCTTTCTTCTGCCCTTTTACTTTCTCTCGACCAGGAGGGCAAGTGTTTACGTTACGCCTACTCTTTATCCGTCGAAAGAAAACGGGTTCCTTTCCTCGCCGTCCTCGCTATCCTCGCCGTCCTCCTCGACGCCGCTGAATCCCGTCTAGACACCTCCCCTCTCCTCCTCTTCCGCTGGGCTAGCGGCGTCGACACTAAACGCCACGCATCAAGTAGATCTTTGCCGTCCAAGGTAGGCTGAACGCCAAGCCCGTTCTTCTCTTCTACTTAGCTGCCTAGGTACGGTACTCTTCCCTTCAAGCCACATTCGCTCCGTCCGTACCGTCCCCATCGATTTTTGGCGTCAATTTGATTCCAGATGGTTGGTCTTGGCTCTCTGAGTATGCGTGGCTAGGTATTTTCTTTCCCAATCGTCAGCTTTCAAGAGGCATGGGTCACCAATAGGCTAGTCGAGTCATTTAATTCAGATCGTCATTCAAGTCCTGTCTATGCTATGCACTGTTCGCTCCCCTTCCCTGAATGACTTGCTCTGTTTCTTCTTCTAAAAATGATAAGCAGCCCGTGTGGTTCCTTGGGCCAACCCGTGGCTGAATTGTGCAGACGTAGGGATTGACGACGACTCTCGTTTCAAGCCCTTCTCCTTTCTCCCGTCTCCTTTCCACGCCATCTGTTTGATGGCGTTCTTCCGTAACCATCATGCCAGGGCTGACTCTGTTGAACGACACGGGCTAGCAAAAATATACAGTCGCCGTCGCTCAACGCTCAACGGCTGAAAGCAAATTGAGTAAGCCGGCGTCGCATTTCCGCCATGCTTCATAACCCGCTCAACGCCATGCAATGCTGTCCCTGATGTTGTTTTGTGCCCAGAACGCCAATGTCTATTCGTCGAAACTTGAAAAGGGGATCTGGTCCACTTTGACGCCTGTGCCGCCCCAGATACCGTGGTCGTAAGTGTGTGTGTGTATGTGTGTGTGTTTGGTATGCTGTTGTAGTCGTTGTTCTCTCGTGTCGTTAATCTTTCCTCCAAGACTTGCTTGGGTACACCCGTATTTCGTAGTCTACGTCAATGTGCTGAATGACTTTTACGTTGATTTAGGACTGAGGTCCTGTTCGAATCCGGAACTTGTCGCGCAGCTTGTCGGCCAATCTGGCCCTGCGGCTCCTGTCGTTCCTCTCCTCGCCTCCGACGTCGACCGTGCTGCTTCCAGCTTCACCTTGTACTTGGTGCTGGGTACGGTATTGCCGGAGGGCTTGGATACGCTCTTCTGCAGAAGCGTGCCTCAACCTGTTGAGGTCAAACAATCGAGTCCTCCGTCTCTGCGAGGTGGAAGAGCCATCGCTCTCATGACCATCCAGCTCAAGCGGGGGCGGAAGTTCATCACTGGGATTCTCTGCTTCGCCTTGTGGACGGAGGTCAAGACGGCTGAAGATGAACGTTAGCAAGATATTCAGTGAAAGTATAGCACGTGATGGAGACGATGCAACATCGGCTCTGTAAGAAGGCGGCGTGCTGAACTCACCATAACGGACATGTGCCTGAGACATTGACCAACCAGGGGTCTACACAGTTGGGGTGGAACTTGTGATTGCAGGGCAGCACGCGGACATCTTCACCGACAGTGAAGTCTTCGGTGCAGATTGAGCAACCCAGGTGCTCATCCTCCTGTCCTCCAGCATCTTGCCTGTCAGAACCAGCACTCTTGGCAGCACCAGTAACACTGGCAGCAAGGGCACCAGTCGCAGTGGCGGCCGCATCACTAGTCGTAGCAGTAGTTGTTTCTGTCGCTGTAGCAGTGGCCCCGACATTGGTGCTGACTGGAGCAGCAGCACCCTGCCGCTCAACGGCTGTGTCGTTCGTTGGTATATTTGATGCGCTCTCCAATTCAATATTAGGATCCGGCTTCGCCTCCTGCCGCTCACCAAACTTGACGATGGGCAGAGTGTCCAAAACAGCGCGGGCGAGGCCCTTGGCACGGCTCTGGCGGGGACGGCCGTTGAACCCGTTTCTGGGACCGTACCTCTCAGGGTAGCGGTGTGCCCTGACGGCGCCGGTGGCAATGATAATCAAGAAGAGCAGTGTAATCAGACCCGTAATGCTGTACAGAATGCTCATGGCGACAGCTGAGTTGTTGCCGCCCCCACCATTCCCTCCATCGCCAGCAGCACCAGTTGCGTTTCCTGTAATTGTGACCTTGAGCTGGTCTGCCTCGTTGGTGCCGTTGAGAATGCGCAGGGCCTGTTGAGAGTCTCCAGCATCCGCCATAGTGAAGATGGAGTAATACGTCAGGTCCGAGCCAGCAAGCATACACCAGTTGCCAACCGTGCTGTACAAGACAATAGCCTTTGGCTTGTTTTCCATCAGAGTACCCAGCATCATGTTAGGATTGATGAAGCCACTGCCGTCTTGGGTGTCGCAAGAAAGGTATGCGACCTGGGTGTTAGATTTGATCTGATTGTAATTCGAAGAGTCGGCGGCTACCATGGTACCCTCAATACGAACAGCCTGTTGGGTTGTTAGCAAAGTGTTATGTTCCATGGTCAGTCAGCGACACTGCTGCGCTGCGCGACCAGATGATGGATGGCTTCGTACCCCACGAACAACGTCGGACTGATTCAAGCCCAGGTTCTCCGTCGACGGCATGACGATGAACGACAGTGGGACGGTGCCACCTGCCGTCGACAGGGACATCTGCATGCCCGACCTCTCACTCCACGATGGGATGTCGTTCGCAGGAGTGATGGTCGCGGCCTGCGCCATGACGCCGACGACGGCGCAAGCCAGGATCTGTAGGAGTAACGAGGCCATCGTTTCTGTCGATTCGATTACTTCCTCTTCTCACGTTCGCACGACGGTCGACGTCGCTTTCCAGCGGAACGGAGGTGGGAGGGGGAAGAGCCACGGAAAAACTTCGTTTATTTCGGACGACAAAGGTGCGCCCTGCAGAATGAGGAGGCGCTCGGGAAAATATGTCGGGAAATGGTTCAAAAGGCGGAGACGAGTTGGTATGACGGCTCAAGTCGCACGACGTGGAGATGACATGCAGTGCAATGCGATCGCAGATTTGGTACGGAGGACGGGAAGTTTGGTCGGGCTCGCTCGCTGGCAGGCCTTATTGTTGGAAGAGGAGGGGGATTGGCGTGTCACATCTCCTCTGAACCGTGAATATCAGATGGTCATTTCCATCCCCAAGAATTTGATCGCAAGCGGCCGGGCGATTGTGCGTGTGTTGTATTGGTAGAAATCGCGTGTGTCTCTGCGGGGTGCGGCGGGCAAACTATCGGGGTATCTTCGTCGTTATTACTGTCGCGATGGTCCTTTGTGTATTTGGTTGGGTGTTGAGATGCGGATGGGAAGAAGGAAGGGCGGCTCGGCGGGTAGTGGTGACGGGGTCTTGGGTGGTGGTTGAAGGGGGAGGAGGAGGTGGAGGAGGAGGAGGGAATAGAGACAAAAGTCACCGGAAGGGATGGGGAAGGAACGGTAGTGGCGGGTCACCAAAAGACACACGGCAAGTGAGCCGGACGGGCATCAGATTCAGCGGTACGAAGAATATCTATACGAATAGTGTATGGAGTACATGAGATCTTGGTGGTCAATGGCAGGGCGAGCAAAGTACCCTTGTCTAGTGGAGGAATCGCGAGCGCCAAGACGAATGTGGAGAGATGGACAGCGGAGGTCGGTCTCACTTGCGGCGACACAGGGCAGCCCGGGCTCCCGGGGGTTGGTCAGCTGTAGCAGAACTGGGACAAGTCGGGTGACTCGACGGGATTATCCAGTGGGCAATTCCTGATAATTCATCGCAGACTACCATAATTTCTCCGTGTAACAATCGGCTGGGGGGAGGTATATCTCATTGTCCCGTCTGGACGGCAGGGAACAGAGCCGCAAGTGAGGCACAGCAAAAAAACTTGAGACAGCGAGGAACTCTGTCCAACGAGCATGTCCGTATGGCACATCGTATCTCACACCATTTAGGACTTTAGGTTGGTAATGTTATTAGGCTATTCAGGTATTCTCTCTGACTGACCAAGAGCTGACCAAAAAGGGGGGATATGCGCATTATCCAGTATCCTCCCAGTTGCCAGTGCACATCACCACCCAATCTGCGCAGCCAAAGAAAGGAACAGCAACAAGCTGAGATGAACCTGATCTGATTTGCAAGCCCGCGCGCAAGTCGAAGCTTAAAGTCCCACTTTGTTGAGGGTCATGTCATATTTCGTGGGCTGTGGCCGCGGAAAGACTTCCAAGGTTGTCTCTGACCTCTTTCGAGACCGGCGAGACCACACTAGAGAG